AGAGTCATAACAAGACCTTTTTTAGTTCTGCGCCACATGTGTGCGTCACTAGGCAAAACAGGTTTGCACGCAGTCTTATACCTGAGCGTTTAAGTCGCTGGCAGAGCTAAAGCGGACTTAACCTACCACCTAGTGGCGATAGGATGTAATATGTTTCACGCAGCTGCGTGATTCATGAAAAGCGTGAATGAAGACGACAAAACGAAATGGGACCTACTGTATATGAACTGACCTTTTTTGAACTTTGGAATTAATAAAAATGTTAATTTAAATCTAAAAATGTCAGGGTATTAAATTATGATGCATAGAATAAAATTTCAATGAATCCACCGATTGGGCAGAAAACGGTCTTCTACAGAAAAGTTCACCTTGATGTTCTTCCTCTCATCTCTGAATACAACATAAAGACTAAATACTAAATAAACAAACACTTGAATAGAGCTTTTTGTGTTTTGAGCGCTCTGGGTGATACTCCACCAAGAGGAGACAGTCTGAGCTGAGACAGTGTGAAGGTCAGAGAGAGCTGGGAGAAAATGTGTAATCAAACGCTAATAATAGCATTATGAAGTATTTGTAAGATGCACAACTAAGACAGCTTCAAGGACAACATGGCATCAGAGGGAGCAATAAATAGAACAACTTGAAACTATATTACAAGAGCACCTTCCATATTCTAAATATCTTTATTTCTCAATCAATCCCTTCAAATTAGATGTTTTTGTGGCGAGCAGTCCTGTTCTAGTCGGACTGTAAAGAGAAGTGAGATGAACAGTTTGCGTGAGAAAGGTTGGCTGTGATCCAAACTGCATGCCCTGTGTTCTGATGATGTCATTTTGTGGAAGACTCTGTTTACAATTTACATTTAGAAACTCTGAGTGATGTCTGTAATAAAGCTATCCATCTATTTTCACTTCTGCACTCGTCATGCAGTGCTCTGCCGGGGTCTAAGCACCAAATCATGTGCACATTGCTTGTGGAGCATGTAATAAATGTCATTCTTGCATATAATCTCTCAAGAGTCATATGTGCTAATTCATGCAGTGACAGTTTAGTATGCCAACCAATAAACACAATTCTAAAAACCCCTTTATTCTGTTGAGTCTGATCTCCACATTTAAACACAAACTCTGAAATGGCATTTTATATGTGTGTGTGACCCAGATTGTAATTAAGTGCAAGAGAAAGAGTTGTTTTGGTGTAATGTCCAAATTTGTGTTGACAATTGTTTTAATAAGATCTTTGATTAAATCAGAGAGGAAAAGTGGGGCCAGACCTGACAGCAGAGCATGCACAAAGACTGATACACATTCAAGGTTTTAGGTATGGAGCCGACAAGGCCATTTCCAATTTGAAGGTCTCCAGTTATGAGATTCTTGGATTGCCATATGTCCTTATGGCGTTGTTCTCATGGATTACCATATATGGGCTTGCAGATGGTGCTTGACATTTATTGCTCCTTTGCCATAAGCAGCTAGATTACCCCACGACCAGCTTTCGTAAGACCCATAATTTGAAAAGGTTATGAAGAAAATGTGAAGGCCGAGGACCCTAGGGGCTAATTTCTGTGAGCATTCATACGATGATTGACACAATGTTCCTGGAAACTGCATGTCCCACGTACTTGCATGGACAGTTGGCCTTTAGTTCAATATAATTTATTTCAGTCAGAGTGTGAAACAGAAATCCACTATGATGCTTGATACAAGTTGTGTGACCAAGATTTAGAAAAAGCATACTTGCGTCCAGTGTCTAGTGCTGTGAAATTGAGAATGAGGGTAGACATGGTGTGGGTCTGTTGGGTAGAGGACCCCTCCCTCCAATAGGTCCATAAAGCCTTGTCTTTTTAATGCACTACACAGAACAGTTTCCAGACACAGAGGGGGCTACAGCTCTGAATGCACCACATGTTGTAAAAACAATGAAGATTACATTTATTATTGCGATGAACTGGATGGAACATAATTTGATAAGCATTGCTGATATTTTTGTTTGTTTGCATCAACAAGATAAAAATGATGATGGCAAAAATCAGGAATGTCATGTGAAATATTTAAATATTTTGCAGCCGCTTAAATGAATTAATTGATAATGGGGAAGGCACATATAAGCTTTTGCTTCGGCCTTCTCCTTTTGAGCCTTTTTTCTTTTCTTTTTTTGTCTTTTTTTGAATTATTTGTGCATGTTATTGTGTATTGTCAAACTGCTCAAATAAAAATACTACTACTACTACTACTACTGTGGACTAGTGTTGACTTACATGTTATGGTTATGGTCTATTCCTTCAGGCCTTGGCGCAAAACCGTAGATGCATTAGGTTACAGCACCTCCAAATTTGAGGCACCATTCTTGTACTTCTTCAAGTGGAGGAGTTCAAGTATCTTGGGGTCTTGTTCACAAGTGAGGACATGATAGAATGGAGATTGACAGGTGGATTTTTAACCAATTAACCCGGAGCAGCGAGAAGCCTTCATTTTTGGTCCCCGTATGCTGCCACATCAAGTGTTCCATAGTTTTTCAGGCATCAATCCAAAACCTGAATGTGATGTTTGATCCTGATCTGACTTATATAACTCCAAAATGCCTGTGCACAATAATCCTCTTACAATCCACCCCTGGAGTCACCAGGAAGCAAAACTGAGAGCCATTTTAATAACCAAAGTGCAGTTTGAGCAGAGGTTTACCACACACATGTAATCCACTCATCATGCAAAAAACAAACTGATAAATTGTTATTTGGCTATTGAACTTGTGAAATCATGCTAATGAGGCTGAAAATGTATTAATGATATGAAATGTTTCTGCATAAAAAGTGAAAGATGATCAAAAATCCAATTCCTTTTTCTTTTCTTTTAAAGGTGCTTTTAATTGGATGTTTATAAAAGATGAGTTTTTTTCTGTAATAGTGTAGAGTCATCATCAAAGTGTAACTTGTGCTGCATCACAAGTTCTGTTCAATGTCATAAAGACAGTGAACAGAAGCGGTCACAAAGAGCAGCCTTGACTGAAGCCAACATGCACTGGGAACAGGTCTGACATACTGCCGGCAATGCGAACGCAGCTCTGGCTTTGGTCATACAGGGACTGGACAGCCCTCAGCAGAGGACCCTGAGTCAAGTACTCTCAGAGAACCTCCCAACCACCCCAGTCTGCCGCGTGCCACACAACGATATGTCAGCCAAGACAGTCCTACAACATCCAGAGACTTTAGATAGTCAGGGCGGATCTCATCCACTCCCGGCGCCTTGCCACCAAGGAGGCTGTCAACCACCTTGGTGACCTCTGCCAGGGAGATGGAAGCATCTGCCTCAACATCCTCAGCCTCTGCCTCTATCTCTACCTCTACCAGGACGTGACGAGGTAATTGAGGAGAACCTCGAAGTATTCCCTCCATTGCCCAACAATATTCCCAGTCAAGGTCAGCCTCGAAGAGATTCTTCAAAGATATTCGGTCTCTGCAACAGCCCGGGCAGCGGCAGGTTTGGCCAGCCAGTACTGGACAGCTGCCTCAGGAGTCTCACAAACCATCATTGATTTATTTATGCATTAGTTTATTTGGATAGGACAGAACAAAGAACATTGTTACATTATAACAGATGCCATCGAGCCAAAGGCTAATTTGCAGACCTGGTCCCTAACACCTAACAACAACAAAACAATTAAAGTCACATAGGCATAAAAAGTTCAGAACAAAAGTTAAATACAACACAAAAGTAGACACATTCAAAAAGAACACTTCAGTGATTACAGGATTGTTTTATTTTTAGCCACTGCAGTTTAAAGGTGAACTGGTTTAAATCAGTGATTGATTTCAGGTCAACAGGTAACCTGTTCCAGAGCTGTGGGCCTTTTACACTGAATGCACTTGCCATTTGCAGGACTCCTTCTTCAGCCTGACGGCATCCCTTACCACTGATGTCCACCACCAGTTTTGGGGGTTGCTGCAGAGACCAGCACCAGAACCCTTGCGACCAGAGTCACGAGCCGACAATAGAGGTGGAGAACATGGTCCACTCAGACCCTCACTACATGCTTGGGTCTGCCAGGTCTGACCGGCTTCTTCCCCTGCCAGCGGGTCCAACTCACGACCAGGTGGTGATCGGTTGACAGCTCCGCCCCTTTCTATGAAGGTCAGATAACACAGCAACAAAGTCGATCCTCGACCTCCGGCTTGGGGGTCCTGGTGCCACATGCACTGGTGGACACCAGTACTTGAGATGGATAAACTGTGGCCGTTGAAATCCCCCAGGAAAATAACGGAGTCCCTGGTTGGTGCACCGTCCAGTACCCCTCCCAGGGACTCCAAGAAGGCCGAGAACTCTGCACTGTTTTTAGAACCGTAAGCAGTCACAACAGTGAAAGACTTGTCCCCCACCCAGAGACGGAGGGACGCGACCCTCTCATTCACCGGGGAGAACTCCAAAACGTGCCGGCTGAGATGGGGGGCAATGACAGTCAGTGGCCACACCAGCTCGCCGTCTCTCCCCACGAGAAACACCAGAAAAGTGGAGTGTCCAACCCCTCTCAACGAGTTGGGTTCCAGAGCCCAAGCTGTGTGTTCTCCCCTACGAGCTCGGTCTCTTTCCCCCCCAGTGAGGTGACGTTCTACATTCCAAGAGCCAGATGTTGTGTGTGCGGACTAAGGCCCTCAAACATTCAGAATCAGAATCAGAATCAGAATCATTTTTATTGCCAACGTAAGTAACGGGAGGTCACAGACTTGGAAATTGCTTTGGCTCAGTGCAACAGTCAAAAAGAGATAATAAAAATAAGAATAAAAAACACTTCTAAAGAATAAATTTAAATTTAAAATAGAGTTACAGTTACTATTTACAATATACAAGTGCACATGGTGCACACAATGTAAGGTGACAGTAGTACAGTGAAGTAAAGTGACGTATGATGGGCAGTAAAGTGACTTTATAAAGGGCGGGGGGACAGGTTAAGAAGTGTTCAAGAGTCCAACAGCAGAGGGGAAGAAACTGTTCTTGTGGCGGGAGGTTCTAGTCCTGATGGACCGCAGCCTCCTGCCTGAGGGGAGTGGTTGGAATAGTCCATGTGCAGGGTGAGAGGGGTCGGCTGTGATACGACCAGCCCGGCCTCGAGCTCGGGCGACGTACAGGTCCTGCAGCGATGGAAGGCTGCGGCCGATCACTTCCTCTGCAGAGCGCACAATGCGCTGTAGTCTCTGTTTGTCCCTGACTGTGGCTCCAGCGAACCACACGGTGATGGAGGAGGTGAGGATGGACTCGATGATGGCCGTGTAGAACTGCACCAACATCTGTGCAGGCAGCTTGGCTTTCCTGAGCTGCCGCAGGAAGTACATCCTCTGCTGGGCCTTCTTGATGAGGGAGCTGATGGTCGGCTCCCACTTGAGGTCCTGGGTGATGGTGGTGCCCAGGAAACGGAAGGACTCCACAGAGGTGATGGGGGAGTCCATCACGGAGGGTGGGGGCGGGGGGACAGTGCTCTTCCTGAAGTCCACAATCATCTCCACTGTCTTCTGGGCGTTCAGCTCCAGGTTGTTACCACTGCACCAGGACACCAGCCGGTCCACCTCCCTCCTGTAGGCGGACTCATCGTTGTTGGAGATGAGTCCAATGAGGGTGGTGTCGTCCGCGAACTTGATCAGCTTCACGGAGTCGTGGCTGGAGGTGCAGTGGTTGGTGTACAGGGAGAAGAGCAGGGGAGAAAGAACACAGCCCTGTGGGGCTCCTGTATTTATAATCCGAGAGTCCGAGACATTCTTCCCCAGACGCACTCGCTGCTTCCTGTCCGTCAGGAAGTCAGTGATCCACCTGCAGGTGGAATCGGGCACGTTGAGCTGGGAGAGCTTGTCCTGGAGCAGGGATGGCAGGATTGTGTTGAAGGCAGAGCTGAAGTCCACGAACAGGACCCTGGCGTAGGTCCCCGGGGAGTCCAGGTGCTGTAGGATGTGGTGGAGGGCCAGGTTAATGGCGTCGTCTACAGATCTGTTGGCTCTGTAGGCGAACTGCAGGGGGTCCAGGAGGGGGGAGGTGAGGGACTTGAGATGGGAGAGAACCAGGCGTTCAAATGACTTCATGACGACAGACGTAAGTGCTACAGGTCTGTAGTCATTGAGTCCTGTGATCCTGGGCTTCTTCGGGACGGGGACAATGATGGAGGATTTGAAGCAGGCCTGGCTCCAGGGTGGGGCCCTGGCCAGTGGCGGAGCCAGAGGGGTAGCCAGGGTGGCCACTGCCACCTCTAAAAATACCCTTGCCACCCCCAGTGCCCCCCTCCGAAGACGGCAATGTAATATTGTTAATCTTGAGAATCTTCCGCACTTTTTCCGCCAAAAGCTAAAAATTCCCACGGTTTCCCCCGTCTGTGAACGCACCCTGACTCCGTCTGGAGCCGGTGCTGTATGCTAATGTTTTTCATTGGTTGTTGGACTCAGGTGTGTGCCCAAGTCGTGATGAAAACAAAGAGGTAAGTTAGCGATGCAGAGCCAACCGTTTACATTTGACACAAAGTATAGACACACGTACTGCAGCGCATTACTTGTTCAGTTTGTAGAACTTTTAGTGTGTGTGTGTGTGTGTGTGTGTGTGCGTGCCTGTGTGCGTGCCTGTGTGCGTGTGTCAGCGTGCCAGTGTGTCTGCGTGTGTGTGCGTGCCTGTGTGTGCCAGTGTGTCTGCGTGTGCCAGTGTGGGTCTGCGTGCCTGTGTGTGCCAGTGTGTGTGTGCATGCGTGTGTATTTTCTATTATTAATTGCCCATCGTATCATCGCCCTCTTCCCTTTAGTGTAAACATTAAATGAAAAAGAGGAAACATTGCCTACAGACCTTTTTTTGTTAGGAAAAGGCTGTAGATCAGGATGAAACCTGAAGGTCAGACTCGGAGGCAGTATGTTTTGAGATGATGAGGAATTTGTTGTGTTGTATTAAAATATAGCTTATATAATTGAGTTTCAGAGAATGAGAGGGTGTCGCAGACAGGTGCAGGATTGTCTATTGGCAGAAGGCGTTTTTTTCACACTCAAAAAAAGAATAAAAATTGCTATGGATGATGTGCAGTCGCTTAACCCCAAACTATTTTTGAAAGAAGAGCCCCTGTTTTCATTTGGCAGAACCTTTGAGTCAGATATAGAGGACCTTAAGCATGAGGTACATCAAACTAGGTGGATTCTTGGGAGGAAAAATTGGATTAGAGAGTCCCTATTGGACTTCCTTGTCTTTTTGGAACGTTTAAAAAGTGTTTCATGAGCTTTTGAGTCTGGCAAAGATGTTTTAAATACCTGTCAGTTCTGCGTCTTGTGAAATAAGTTTCTCTGCCCTAAAACTTATTCAAAACCATCTCAGAACTATGGCAGATGATTGAGGCGTCTTGGTATCCTCAGTTTAGAGTCAAGGAAGGCTCAGGACTCAATATGGATGAGTTTATCAACATCTTTGCTGCTTTACACCAGAACCGCAGGAATTTGCTAAATTTGTTAAAAGAAAAATGTAATGCAATGTTTGAATGATGTTATCTTCAGACTACTATTTAAATACACTTTTTTGCTTTGTAGTTTCCAAGTGTGCTCTCAGTTCAATTTAAAATTAAAAATAATGACAAGATTAAGATTAAAATGTATCGTTTAGCCAGTTTTTGTGTGAAATAAAACGTCGGAATAGTATAAATGTGGACCCCTTAAAAAAACCCTTGCCACCCCCTGGCCACCCTCTGTTTAAAAGTCTGGCTCCGCCACTGGCCCTGGCTGCGCCATGCTTGGTGGTGTCACGGTTCTCTTAGTCTTTGTGATCCATGGTGTAAAAAAGGGATCGCACGAAATGCATTACATTATTTTTGATGTTACAAAACATAATTTTACACATTTCACACAGCATTTTATCATGCAGGGCATTTCTAATTTCTTTTATTGCTTCAATTATTACCATTGTGAAAGTTTTACTTGTTCTAAAACCATAATGACTTGATGTTTATTGCCGTTTTTGAAAAGTGGCATTAACCTTTGTAACTTTCATAGTTGGGGGAATCAAACAGATTGGAATGATAAGTCTAGCTCAGTTTGGTTCATAAACAAATTTCACCTTTTTCATCAAGGAAATAGTCTGGAGATGATGAATGAGAGATTCCTTGTTTAATCAGACTATTTAGTGTATCCCACGTTCTTTCACAGAACAGTGTTTATTATAGACAGTGTTGGGCACGTTACTTTGAAAAAGTAATTAGTTATAGTTACTAGTTACTTCTCCCAAAAAGTAACTGAGTTACTAACGGAGTTACTCCACTATAAAAGTAACTAGTTACCAGTAAAAGTAACTATTGCGTTACTTTTTCGTTTTGTTCTGGAACATAATGTGCACCCGACGTGCACATTTTTACCTTTAACAGTGCCAATATTTCCATCTAGAAAAGTCTGTTTTGCTGCTGAAGTCCTGTTCACTCTTCATCTCTCTCTGTGCTGTAAAGCCCGCCACTGTGAATGTGGAAACACCGGTGACGAGCGGTGAGGCTGGTGAAGCACTGACTTCAGTCCAATCAGATGAACATATACATCATATAAATCAAGTGGACAATTTGTTTGGCTACAGCAAAATATGTTTTAGGCCCGCATTGTTTGTTCATACAAAACGCAAAACTATGAGTTATGGGTCTTACCTTATAGCTATACCTTATAAATGACCTGCACAGTCGACTTCGGTTCAGACCAGTTCCTTGTTTAAATCCAGTGAATGGTTTGAGCGTAGATATGTAATCCTCCATTTGGAAATGAGTCCAATGAGTTTTAAAAAGTAAAACAAAACGCGTGTGTCCTCCGTAAACTCCTCTGTTTTGCTGCAGCCGGCTGCATCCAATTTCTAAAATCAACCGTCTTACACTTGACCTCTCTTTATTATCATTCCTATAGTAATTGAAAAATTACCCTATGTGCATTTTAGATTATGTAAAAATGTGTTATATGTATGTTAGCCAAACCTGTTGCTGTCCTTAGCAGATAAACCAGGAAGAGCAAGGAGCTTATCGATGGAATTGTATGCAGTCGACTTCTGCGCTCACATGAGCTCCTCTGTGGCTGACCTCACGGTGATACAAGCCGTGGTTGAGCGCGATTAAGACCCATATTTGTTTCAAAAACACAATTTATGAGCCATCCTCTCAACTGTAGACATGTAGATTGTAAAGGAAATATGATTTACATCAGCCAATAATTGCTGAGAGGTTTTCTCATCCTTCTCTCATGACAACACGTTCATTGTGCGTCTTGAGTAACGCGCAGTAACGGGATGTCGGAAATGATAACGGCGTTATAGTTACTGTCAAAGTAATTAGTTAGATTACTCGTTACTGAAAAAAGTAACGGCGTTAGTAACGCCGTTATTCCCATCACTGATTATAGAACAGAGTGAAGCAGTCTACAAATGCAGTATACAGAACTCTAACCTTGATGAGCCAGACTTTTGTTTAAGGCACATAATCTATTTATGCTTATTATTCGTTCCACAATGGTTTATAAAAAAATGTTTTTTTTTTTGTCATGAAGTTGCAGCCACACAAAAAAGCGAAGTGATTAGTGATGTCACGAATACGCAGGCCCCTTGAGACAACACTGAGCAGCACTCGGTCGCCCTCTGCTGGTAGATTAAAAGAAACGTTGAGCTGTTAGTTATTTGTAATTTTTATGCATCCAGTAAATCCAGTCCATGCAAGAACAAACCGGATCACTCGCCTCAACGCCAATTGAAATTAATAGAGCAAGACAACTGTAAACACATGTGCTGAGACTGAGGCGTAAAATACTAGTTTGTTATAGTATAATCAGAGCAGAATGGAAACATTTCTGCTCTATATGCTGGCATGTAACCACACAGATTATCTGGTTTATGAGGTTACATGCCAGCATATAAAGCAGAAATGGTCATGAGACTACGAGACTACACACACTTTTGATAGAGACCCTTGCTGCTTATGTTTCAGTGATTGTTTTTGTTTGTTTGTTTGTTTGTTTTTAATAGCAAAAGCCAATCAGGAATAATAGTGTTGAGTGAAGGGGTTGCAGGAGTGCTGCACTGGATCAAACAAAAGTAAAAACACTAACAGGTGCTCATCCGACTCAAGGGTTGGAGACTGGTTTGCAAAAGAAAAACTGTGTTCTGTTTAATGGTCATTAAAAAGAACAGTTTTCAGAGTGCCTCCATTTTTTCTTTTGCATACCAGGAATAATAGTGTGTTTAAGGGTGCAGGGGAAAGTCAAGGATTTTTGCAGCTGCAGTTGAGCATATGTGAAAATCAAATATAGTGTGCGGTACCATGATTTGACATACTCATATCGTATCCAGGACTGCCCAAAAATAAATCAAGAAACATTACAGTGCATATATTAATAAATCTTGTTTATTCATTCATGTATCAATCTCAATTCATTTTACTCAATCTCTACTCTACATTATGATTCTACTTCTCATTATATATAATTACACATTCTTTAAGAATTATTTTACAGTAAAGCAATTTGTTGAACCCTGAAAAAGGAGAATTGTAAACAGTGTCATTCATTTAGCTCTTTTTAGGTATTTGTTACATTCAGTACACTTACTGCTGTTCAAAACATGTAACTGTTACAAACCCAGTAAAAAATAAAAACAAACAAATAAAAAACGCCAAAAACGAACTGCACTTCACTGACCGTCCACACGGAGGCAATGCTCTCACAGACGTGGTGATCGAATCTCTCCTTGCAACACCTGGAAATGCAGACATTAGCATTTTTCAGACATTGAATAAGACTTTCACCTCCTGTTTGATGGGATACATACTATTTAAATTGGAAAAGATGTAATCATGAATTGTACACATTTCAATTGATTTGCAATTTTAGATCAAAAACAAAGTAGTATGAAGCAGTATGGAGGAAGAAGTCATATGAATATTTTTGGTCGACTGACAAAACATTTTCAGTTAGATCATTAACCCCCTTTTAAGAAATACAATTTAAACTAAATAGTGACCAAAAGCTTCTAGAATCAAGATGGAGAATTAGTAAAAATACATAAAGTAAAAAATAAAATGATGAAACAATTAATCAGGTAATTTTGACAGATTTACAGCTGCTGTTTTTGATTCATAAAAGTCTATAAGCATGTATGTTTCTAACAATTATTAAATTAATTTAATATTATAAATTGACTTCTGGTAATCGTTGCAGCCCTACATCCATCCATCCATTTTCTTCAGCTTTATTCCTTTCCAGTAAGCAGTCTAAGCAGAGAGGCCCAGACTTCCCTATCCACACACACCTTTTCCTGCTTATCAGGAAAAATGTGAAGGCATTCCCAAGCCAGCTGAGGGACATGGTTCCTCCTACGTTTCCTGGGTCTTCCCTTAAGTCTCCTCCTGGTGAGACATGCCAGGAACACCCAGAAGGCATCCGCAACTGGTTCCTCCCGACGTGGAGAAGCAGCAGCTCTATTCTGAGCTCCTCACGTGTGACTGGGCTATGCCGCAACGTCCATCCATCTTGTATTGGAGACTACGGTCCATCAGGGCCAGAACCTCCTGTCATAAGAACAGTTTCTTCCCCTCTGCTGTTGGACTCAGGAACACTTCATAAACCATCACTGACTTTTGACCGTCACTTTATGCTACTGTCACTTTACTGCACTCTACTGCACTCTAACGGGTTTATGGTGTGCACCTAGTGCACTCATATGCAGTAAACAGAAATGATATTTATGTAGATTTTTATTTATGCATACCTTTGATTTTATTCTGATTTAATTTGTTTAAACCGAGAGCAAAAGCAATTTTCTAGTTTGTGACATCCTGTTACTCACATGGCAATAAAAAGGATTCTGATTCTGATTCTGACACACCCGGAGCACTTTTTTCTGGTTGAGGCTTCCAATTTGGAGGTGCCGATCTTCATCCCTCTAAATAAGCACCCCTAAATATGAGCTGCTAAATCACATTGATAATAAGGCTAAACTATAATGATAACATCAACATAAAACATACAGTAAATATATCAACGTAATATTTGAAGATAAATTATACAAAATGTCATTGTAACTTGTTGCGTTTACCTGCAACAGTGGCTCATGGTGCGTTCAGGGCCACTCCTTGTTTTGGCCCTTTCCCTTCCGCTTCCTCTCCTTCTTCTCCTTCTGTTACAAGGCTGTGTTTTGCAGCTGGCTAACTTTCAGATTTGGATATAAACAAAATAGATTAACGCCTCCCCTCTGGTGGCAGCAGTGGGCTTTACAGGTACAAAGATATATATATATATTTTTTACTCTTCACTTGTTACTATAGATATTATTTTTATTGTACATGTTCTTAGATATTTCACTATTCCTAGATAGACAACAACAAAGTAAATGTTGTATAGTATTATTTTGACTATAGACTGATGCATATAATCTAATTGATAACGCATTTAAAACATTTGGTTGCAGAGACAATTGTGCATCTCCCATGGACATTTCACCGGGGGATTAATTCATAAACATATTTGCACTAATGTTTTCCATTAATCATGTTTGCCCTTTTGATGCGATTAGCCGATACAATACAAGAAAGCTAAGCGTTGTTTGAAAGGCTTGTGCGTACTCCTGCCAGATAATGCATTAAAAATGAACTCAAGGTCTGGACAGATTTCATTAAAAGGTTATTCTCATTAAAAACATTTATTTTTTCCCATCACGTTTTATCAGAGAATACTGTGTGGAGTTAGGAGTAGTTTTTGTAGACAAGCTCTTTCTTTAGGCTCTCCGTCATACAATCATAAATCACACCTTGTTCCGGTTTTTGCTTTTCTTTTTCATATGGACCTTGATGGCATTAAGTTGGACCTAAACAGCATTGAAAATTCCTAATAGGTCTTAACTTTCACGTTGGCCAAACCTGGAGCTACTTGTACTATTAAATTATCGTATTTTGTACCAATTTGTTGTAAGCCTGGTTCGTTTTGAGATGGCAAAATATTGCTGTGACCCTTCATTTCATTTACTTCATTTCATTTACTTTAATTTCATTAGTGTCGTTTGGTCATTCAGTCAGTCCAGTTTTAAATCAAAAACAAACACAATCAAGTCCGTGCTTTGCCCGCATCTTCCGAAATAAAATTCATCACTTTACAGAGATCGCACTGTAAATAATTACACTAAAACAAGAGTCCCATACCACAATACACAAAACGTTTCCTATGGTTACCGCTGTCATATATTTTGTCCATATTGAGCTGAACGAAATGTATTGAAAAGCCTTTTTGTCCAGAATAACGATAAACAGTATTTAAATTATTGTAAAGTGTGTTAAGGGTAGTGCATAGTTTTTAAAATGTACTACATTTTCAACATTAACCATATATTTCTCATAAAATCTTGTTGACCTTTTGAGTACAAACAAATGGCTGGCGACTTTATGATGCGATGGCCCTTTAGTTTGGTCCTCTGGTGACTACATTTCTCAATTATAATGGGTCGCCTGGGGTTTGAGTTCTAATAGACTGTAAATGACACTCTGTGGGTTTGACTCTTCAGCTGAGCAATTTCACTGAAAATCGCAGACGGAATACATGTAATAATGCCTTCAAAAAGTATTTGTGAGTTTCGGATTCAAATCCACTCAGCACATTGCATAACAAAGTTTCCAAGTGCTGTACAGGAGTAAGACATAAATTTAACGAGCAAAAAACAGCCGACAGTTATAGAAAGAAAAAGCCAAATCTTGACTCTTGAAAAAATACAGATATTAATTTACTTTGGAAAACCATAACCAATTCAAACTGCCCTGATTCATCCCGGAATCCTTTAATTTTGGATCATTTGCATTGCTCTTGTATTTACTGAAGCACTATGAAAGCACTACGATGTGCTTTGTGTATGAAGTGGGCCATAACAGATAAACTTGGTTCGTGGTTCTAGTATTATTATTATAATTTAACAGACAAAGTTAAATACCAGTGGCTCCCTCCATTAATACGTTGGATCTATAAAGTAACTATGTTTACCTGTAAAATCGGCAAATGAACCACTGTACAGTACTGATCTGCCTCGCTGGCCCCCTGTGCCCGCAGGTAAACGTGGGCGCACCCTCGGAAGTGGACGAGAGTTTTGACGCCATCCCTCGTACAGCAAAGGAGCGTCCGTGATCCGCATGTTGCACAAATACATCGGAGACGAGGTTGGAGCGCTGCCTGCCCGGTGGCCGAATCTGAGCACTGGTCAAACCCTCACCCATTCACTCACTCCTCTAGGATTTTAGGAAGGAATGAACCATATCTGGTCAATTTTCAAAACAAAAACACGCAGGCAACAGGTGAGGAGATATTTTGATATACTTTACTAGCTCATTTAGTTATCGTTTACCTATGGACCCCATCACTTGTGTCCTTAATACAGATGAATAAATAATGACTATGCTCTGAATACGTCAAATTGTTTTGTTGTAATAAATCTTATTTCTTTGCCGCCCCTCTAAACACCTCACTGGTCACCTTACATAACAAGTAAAAAAATACATCTAAAGACCGTAAAAGACAAACTTGCGCTATGTTTTCTCATTGACTTGAATAGATTGCAACTGTTTGACATGTTACTAGTTTGAGTCACACCTTTTTAGAGTTGGTATACATCTAAACAAATAGTGTCTCTGGTGCAATTCTACCTGCGTTGTTTGGTGCACACTGGGCTACGTGGAATTGTCTATGAGTTGATCCAAAGAAAAACCCTTTTTTTAGAGTGCCTGATATAGCATACACAATAGATAACGAGGAGAAAAAATCTTAATTCTAAGTGGTCATTATAATATGCCATGTGTTAAAGCTGTCGTTGTGCTAAGGCTTTTTCCTCAGTATCCCTCTGTCTCCTTTTCTCTGTCTAATTTGCAAGTGTTTTGTCAGAGGATCTATGGGAGTGTCTGGAGCAGCCAGCGGCAAACCCATCGCCGCCGGTGATGAGCTCGGGGACCAAACAATGGGATTTCAATCATCGTCGTCGACCAAGAGCAGGTGCACAGTGGGGACACCTGCTTTTGCACTATCGCTGCTCTCATCCACTGCCGTAGCAGGGTTTATCAAAAAACCATTAAACACACCATTTCATGCCTTAAGAGGAAACGGTTCAATGTCTGGATTTGTGACCTTGTGTTTTTGGGCGCCGGGTGTTTTTTTGCCATATGTCCGATCAGCAATCCTCAAAGCACAGCAGAGTTCAAGCCTGTGTGCTAGCTGCTCAAATGCCAAGATCTCTCTCAACAATTATAAAGTATAAAATAATTATGGAAAATAAAAAAACTTGCAAAAAAATAAAAAGTCAAAATAAAAACAAATAATAATACTAAAAAAATAATAATAAAACCTAAAGTAAATGGGCAGTCAACCCAAAACAAACAAACCATTTCCACATACACACACTAGCACCACAAACACACAAACACGATTCCACGTCCAACCCACACACACCCCCCCACCCCACACACACCACGTTGAGCTCAACACAAAACACCAACACAAACACAAAACAAACAACAAAACAAACATACCCGGTGTGAGTCATCTATGTCCATGGACAACTCACCCTTCCCCACCACACCGTCGACGAGATACTCCCCCCCACACCCCTACCCCACCCCGAGACCGGCTGAACACCCCCCGGGGACCCCCCCCTCACCCCAGGGGGGAAGAGTCCCCCCCGGCGGGGGGTGTGGTGACCACGTCCCGCCCCCCGGCGACCCCCCCCGCCTAGCGACCCGAGGACCCCCCCCCCGGTGGGCCCCCCCCACATGAGACCCCCCAGCGCCCCCCCCACCCCCCCGGTACACAACACCCCAGATATCCCGAACCCCCCCCCCCCCATCGTGGACGTACCGCGTTCAGACCCGTCACCCCACCCCCCGTACACTTGGGGACCCCACACCCCCCCCCCCCCCTGTAGCCCCCCCTCAACCCCCCCACACGCCCACTGTGTATGCGGGGGGCGGGGCCACCCCTCTTGTGACCCCCACCCCCCGCATCCTGCACCCCCCCCCCCGCTCACCCCCCCCCAGGTATAGGGGTACGGCGGTTCGGTCCCCCCCCCCGCCCACACTAACCACGGTTTGGACCCCCCCCCCCCGCCACCACCACCCCCCCCCCCGCCCGAGCCCCCCTAGATGGATGCCCCCCCCAATGGGAGCCGCCCCGGTGAGGAGTAGAGCCCCACCCACACCCCCCCACCCCCCGGCGGGCAACGGTTGAGGGATTGAGACAGGGAGCCGATACAACCCCTCGACCGGAACCCCCCGGTCCCCCCCGACCTACCCAGTTGTTTGTAGTGTGGTTGTTGTGTGTGTTTTATGTGTTAGAAGTGTTTATGTTGTTTGTAGTTGTGCCCCCACCCCCCCCCCCCCCACACACAAAACACCACACACACACCACGCGGTCACCCCACCCCCCCCCCCCCCCCCCCCGCCACCACCCCCCCCCCCTTCCCCGGGAAGCGGGGACCCCGGAAAGACACCCCCCAGTGACCCCCACCCCCCCCCCCCCCCCCAAGTGGGGACCCCCCCAGACAGGTACCCCCCCCACCAGCGCGACCCCCCCCCCCCCCCCCCCTGGGTCCCCCACCCAACCGGTGCGGGGAACGCGGAACCGCGACCCCCCCCCCCCCCCCCCGCCCCCCCCCCCCCCACCACCCACCCCCACCAGGGACCAAACCCCCGCCCCCCCCCGGGCCCCCGGGACCCCGACGACCCTCCCGCGGCCCCCCGGAGGGTTCTCACCCCAATTCCCGCCCCCCACCCCCCCCAGCACCCCCCCCTCCTTCTGTGGATAACCCACAGGTTCCCACCAGGGGGCCAGTGACCTTCCATGACCCGAAGACGATGGCGGGTACCTCCCGCCCCCCCCCCGGGACACCAACGGACACCAGTCCGGTACCCTGGAAATCCCCCCACCACCCAACCTACCCCACGAGAGGGGTCAATCAGGGTACCCCCACCCCCCACTCCCTCACCCCCCCATCACCCCGGGGACAACGAGACCCCCCCGGGGACTCGGGATCCCCCCCTCCGGTGCTGGTCCCCCCCCTCGATCGCAGCCCGCATATAACATAAAATAATATATATATATACTATAATATATATAATAATAATAGAACAAACCACACACACACCACACAACACCACACCTCCACCAAACCCCTTGTTAGGCTCCCCTGCAGGCCTACATGCGAACACACCCTACAACACACACAACAATCCACGCCCCACACACAATAAACAAAACATTTTGTGTGTTTGATTGTGTGTTTTGTTTGTTGTGTGTTTGTTTTTTGTGTTGTTTTTGAGAAACAAAAAAACAACACCAACCGTAGCCACCACCACACCCACACACACACCACACCTACCCAACCCCCCCCGGGCGAGCGTTTCCCGTATCACATATCCCGGAGACCCGCCCCCCCAGCGACCTAGGCCCCCCCCCCCCCCCTCAGACCACCCCACCCCCCGACCAAGAATCCGTTGAGGTCCCCCCCCCCCCCCCCCCTACCCCCTACAGGGACCCCCCCCCCTGACCATGACCCCACCCCACGACCCCCCACTGGTCGGTAGTCCCCCCCCCCCCGAGGCTTCCCCCAACCCACCTTCCCCCCCCCCCCCCCCCCCCCCCCCTTGCCCTTTGGATTTCGGGGTGGAGACCCCCTGGGTCCAGGCTGGAACCCCCCCCCGACCCCCGACACCGGTGGACAACCCCCCCAGACGTCTTAGAGCTTGAGTTATGATCCCCGAATTCCCCCCCCGGACCCTCCCCCCCGCCCCGGAGCCTCCCCCCCAAGACCCCCCCCCGACCCCGGGCTGACCCCCCCCCCGGCGCGGAGGACCCAAGGGACTCCCCAGCCCCCACACCACCACACCCACGTGTACCACCCCCTGTATTTATACCCCCCCCCCCCCCCCCCACCCCTTGGGCCCAAAGGAGGCAGGCGACACAAACACAAGGGTTTGGGGGGGGGGGGGGGGAGGGGGGGTTTGGGTGGGGGGGGGAGGGGGGGGGGGGAGTGATGTTTGTTGTGTAGGTGTATAAACACGCAAAAACAAACACAAAACAAAACAAAAAAAAAAAAAAAAAATAAAAAATAAAAAAAACTTCAACCCACCCCCCCCCCGTGCGCATACCCGCCCCCCCAGCTAACCCCCCCACTTGCTAGCAGGGAACCCCCACACACACACCACAACCCCAATACTCTGAACCGATGATAAGAAACCCCCCCCCCCCATAGGTAGGCCCCCCCCCCCACCCCCCCAAACACCAAAACCGGCGCCAACCCCCCACCCCCCGGGCGTCTTACGCAGATCCCCCATGTAATACCCCCCCCCCCCACGGTGGTACCCCCCACGGGGTTTACCCCCCGACCCCCCCCCCCCGTCCCCCCCCCCCCCCCCCACCGGACATGTACACCCCCAACCCCCCGGCCCGAACCCCCCCCCCCCCCCCCCCCCCCCCGACCCCCGGCCACCCCCTCGCCCCCTCCCGGGGAGGGTAACACAAGTGTAGTGTGTTGAGGTAGGGGTGGGGGGTGGTGTGAGGGGGGGGTGTGTGGTTTGGGGAATGAAGTGTGGGCCATCTTGAGGTCCCCCCACCACCCCCCCACAGACCCCCTCCCAGCACCTCCCCCCGCGCGAACTGTGACACTCAACCACAGGCTAATGAGTGCCCACCACACAACACACAAGATATCCACCCCCCCCCTCCCCCGACCCACCCCCGCGGGGGGAGGTCCCCCCCCAGCCCCCCCCCCCCCACACCCCACACACCACACCACACGAGGAGATCCCGGCTTGGGTCGCCCGCCTACTGGACGCCCCACACCCCACCCCCCCCCCCCCCCCCAAGCTGAAGTGAACCAGGTTGTGTGGGGGGGGGGACCGCCCCCCCCCCTTCCGGGGGGTCGCTCCCGGACCCGGGAAACGCCCTAGGGTCCGCTTGCCGCCCCCCCCCCCCCCCAACACAAATACACACACCCACTCCCCCCCCACCCTAAACCCACCCGATGGGGGGTATCAGGGGGCCCCCCCCCCATAACCCTCACCCCCTCGGTCCCAACCCCCAGACCACTATCCCCCGTACACCCGTAGAACCACCCCCCCCCCCGCCCGACCCCCAGTCCCGTTCCCCCCCCCGCCAACCCCCCCCCCCCCAACCCCCCTATTCCCCCCCCCCCCCACCCCCCCCCCCCACCCAGGGTTCCCTACCCCCCCCCTGGACGGCTATACCCACCCACCACCCCCACCCCACCCCCAACCGTCCCAACCCCCCCCAAGGCGGACCCCCCCCCCACCCCCCCCATACTTGAAGTAGGACACCGAGATCCACCCCTGGGAACCCCCCCCCCGAGGGCCCCATCTCCTGTAATGTCGCCCCCCACCCCCCCCCCTTCCCCCCACCCCCCACAACAAACAGTGGGGGTGGGTTGGGGGGGGGGTTGGGTTGTGTTGGGGTTGGTGTCCGGACCAACCCCCACCCCCCCCCCCCCGCCCCCCAAGTAGGCCCCGGAACCCCCCCCACCACGGGTTCCCCCAATCACCCCCACCCACCCCACTAGACCCCCACCCCCCCCACCCCACCCGCCCTCCCCCCCCTCCCCCCCCCCGGCTGGTCCCCCCCGACCCCCCCGAATGTGAGACCCCCCATTAGAGGTGTCAGGGGAAACACCGCCCCCCCCACCCACCCCCGATGAGGCACGGAAGTCCCGATGGGATGTGGTTCCCCCCCTTATCCCCGAACTACCCCAGGACCAGGACCCGATACGACACACCCCCAACCCCCCCTGATTCCCCCCCCCACCCCCACCCCACCAGCAAATTGGGACATAGACCCCCCCCCCTATCCCTGCGGTGTGGACGTAGGGACCCCCGACCCCCCCAACCCCCCCAACCCCCCGCCCCCCCCACCCACACACCACACACCACCACCACCCACACGCGGGACTAGGGCGACCCCCCCCCGAAGGCCCCCCCACCACCCACACCCCCCCCCCCCCCCCCCCCCCCTAGAAGGGTCGAACCCCAGGAGTGCGACCCCCCAGCAGGGCCCCCCCACCACCCCCGACACCCCCTGAATTTTCCATGTTATAACCCCCCGAATATACTCCCCCCCAGGTTGGAGTGCCCCCCTTAGGTGACGGACTGTGGGCGACCCCCTGAGTACTGAACCCGGCAGTACCACTCCCCCCCTGAATCTGACTTGAATAGACACCCCCCACCCTATATATATATATTTATTAATATATATATAATATAAAATAAACACAACACACACCACACACCCACCCCCACCCCATAGCCCAACCCACACACAAAGGGGGGGGGGGGGGGGGTGTGAGGGGGGGGGACAAAAAAACACGCACACCACACCATAGCACCTTCATTACGAGTTCCCCCGCTTCAGTGAGTCCGATCCCCCCCAACCCCCCCCCCCCCCCCCCCCCCCCCCCACAACTGGGAGCCAACCAAACACCCCCCCCCCCCCCGACCCCCGACACTCGCAAAGACCACCCCCTGACCCCCGTGGACCCCCCGGTAGACCCCCCCCCACCCCCCCCCCCCCCCCCCCCCGCGAACAAGACCCCACAGTGAGAGCCGGTGGATACCCCCGGCGTACCCTGTGGACCTGAGTTTAACCAACCGATAACACCCATCCCCACCCCAGTGACCCCCCCAAGGGGAGGTCCCCCACCGAGATCGCCCCCCCCCCCCCGGTAAGGGCCCCCCCCCCCCGTACCCTCGCTGAGGAGCCCCTCGGGACCCCCCCCCACCCGGAAGGGGAGACCCCCACCACCCCAACCACCCCCCCGTGTAGTCCTACCCCACTCCTGGAGGTGGGGACCCCTGCTCCCCCCCCCCCCCACCTGGTACCCAGATACCCCCCCCCCCCCACCGAGGGGGATTACCCCACCCCCATGATTTCTACCCGCCCAGACCCCCCCTCGAGATCAACCCCCCCCCCCCCCCCCTCCCACGCCCCCCCCCCCCCCCCCCTACCCCCCCCCCCCCCCCATATCCGACAGGGTTGGGGGTGTGGCGTACCCCCCCCCCAGGTACCCCCGGCCCCCCCACCACACACCCACACACCCCACCACACCACTGGGCAAACGATAGGCGAGGCACCCCACCCCCCGTGCCATCCGGGCCGGCTGGAAGACCCCCAAAAGGGCCGCGGACCCCCACCCCCCCCCACCCTCCCCCCCCCCCCCCCCCCCCCTCAGTCCCCCCCGACCCCCCTTCACCCCCCACGCGATCCCCCCTCCCTTCCCCCCCCCCGTACCCCCCCCCCCCCCCCCCCCCCCCACCCCCCTCCCCCACCCCCGGGCTGCCCCCTCCCCCCCCAGACCGGTGTACCGGCACTACATAAGCCTCCCAATTGACCCCCGCAGTTTCAGCACCTGTACCTTGCCCCGAGCAGAACCCGGCGAGGGCCCACCCCCCCCCCCCCCGCCCCCCCCCCCCTATCCCCCCCCCCCCCCACCCCCCCCCCCCCCCCCCCCCGCCCCCCAGACGGAAGGCGGAAGGATCCCCCCCCCCCGCCCCCCCCTGACTCCCCTCGGCCCCACCACCTCGGTACACGACATGTGGGGACAACTGGTACGTGGAGTCCCCCCACCCCTTGCCCCCAATAAACCCCCCCCCACCCGCCTCCCTCGGAGAAACCCCCCCCTCCGTGGGCGTCGCCCGCTCGCGCTCATAGTGCCTTATGTCGCCGCCTCCCACACTTCTTGAACTCGGCAGTGCCTTTTGAGGCCTTGCTGATCTCCGCCGCCCTATTGCAAAACACCACCCGGCGCCCAAAACCCAAGTCCCAAAATCACTTGAACCGTTTTCCTCAGTAACGTGCCGGAAATGGTGTGTTTCAAATGTATTCTTGATAAACCCTGCTAAGGCCTGTGTGATGAGACACGAGATTGTGAAAAGCAGTGACCCCACTGGTGCACCTGCTCTTGGTCGAGCGACGATGATTGGAAATCCCATCGGTTGGATCACGAGCTCATCACCGCGGTCGATGGGTTTGCGCGCTGGCCTGCTCCAGACACTCCCATAATCCTCTGACACAAACACATGCAATAGCACGAGAATAGGAAGACAGAGGATACCTGAGAAAAAGCATTAGCGAAACGACAGAGATTTAAAAACATGCGAGTATAAGACAGTAGATTTTGATTTTTCTCTACGTTATTAGAGTGGTTTCTTTAAAGGCCACTATAAAACAAGGTTTTTCTTTGATCAAATACATATGACACATTCCACGACCCAGTGTGCACCAAACAACGCAGTAGAATGCACCAGAGACACTCTTTTGTTTTAGATTATACCACCTATTAAAAGGTGTGACTAAAAAAGTAACATGTTCAACAGGTTTTGCATATATTCAAGTCAATGAGAAAAATAGCGCTAGTTTTGTATTTTAACACGGTCCTTTAGATGTATTTTTTACTTGTTATGTAAGGTGACAGTGAGTGTTGTAGAAGGGAGGGTGCAAAGAAATAAAGATTATTAAAACAAAACAATGACTTATCAGAGCGTAGTATTATTATTTCAACTGTATTAAAGGACACAATGTGATGCCGGCCCATAGGTAAAGCGATAATAAATGAGCTTAGTAAAGTATATCCCAAATATCTCCTCACCTGTTGCTGCTTTTTGTTTTGAAAACTTGGCCAGATATGCGTTCAGTCCTTTCCTAACAATCCTAGAGGAGAGAGTGAATGGGTGAAGGTTTGACAGTGCTCAGATTTCAGGCCACGGCAGGCAGCGCTCAAACCTCGTCTCCGATGTAGTTTGTGCAACATGCGGATCACGGACGCTCCTGTTGCTGTAGAGATGGCGTCAAAAATCTCGTACCACGTCAGACGGGGCCCACGGTACCTGCGGGCCAACAGGGGGCAGGCGAGGAGTCAGTAATGTACAGTGGTTCCATTTGCAGTTTTACAGGTTAAACTTTTAACTTTATAGATCCAAATCGTATTAGGGAGGGAGGCAACTGGGATTTAACTGTTGTCTGTGAAATTAATAATAATAATACGAGAACCAAGAACCGAAGTTTATCTGTATGGCAACTTCATAACGGCACAAGCAAATCGTAGTGCTCAGAGTGCTTAGTAAAAACAAGAAATCAATGCAAATGAACAAAATTAAAGGATTCCGGGATGAAGTCGGGGCAGGCCAGTTTGTATTGGGTTATGGTTTTCCCAAGTTTAATTTAATTTATGTATTTTTTTTCACCGAGTCATGATTTGGGCTTTTTCTTCTATTGTCGGCGGTTTTTTGCTCGTTTAATTATTGTCTTCTCCTGTACAGTCACTTTGGAAACTCTTGTTAATGAAATGTGCTGAGTGGATTTTGAACTCCGAACTTCACAATACTTTTGATGCATTTTACAATGTATACCTCCGTCTGAAGTTTCAGTGAAGATTTTGCCTCAGCTGAAGAGTCATAACCCAACAGTGTGTCATTCTACAGTCTATTAGACACAAACCCCAGGCGCCCACTTATAATTAGAGAAATGTGTACACCAGAGACCAAAAACTAAAGGCCATAGCATCAGAAAGTCGGCCAGGCGTCATGTGTTTGTACTTCAAAAAGGTCAACAAGATTTTATTGAGAAAAATATATGGTGATAATGTTGAAAGATACATTTTAAACTACGGCACTACATTAACACACATTTACAATAATTTAATAATGTTTCTATCGTTATTCATGCGGACAAAAGCCTTTTCAATACATTCTGTTTCAGCTCAATAGGAAAAATATTTGACAGCGTAACATAGAAAACGTTTGTGTATTGTGTAGGAGACTCGTGATTGTAGTGGTAATTATTTACAGTGCCGATCTTGTTAAAGTGATGAATTTTATTTGGAAGATGAGGGCAAAGCTACGGACTTGATTGTGGTTTGGTTTGATTTAAACTGAATGACTGAATGACCAAGGACGACACTAAATGAAATTAAAGGGAAATGAAATGAAAAGTAAATGAAATGAAGGTCCACAGCGAATATTTTGCATCTCAAAACGTACAGCTCACAACAAATTGGTACAAAATAACTATAATTTAAATAGTACAGAGTAGCTCCAGTTTTGGGGCCTAGTGAATTTAAGACCCTTTTAGGAATTTTCAATGCTGTTTAGGTCAAACTTAATGCCATCCCAAGGTCAAAAATGAAAAAGAAAAGAAAACGGAACAAGGTGGATTTTATGATTTATGACCGCTGAAGGGCCTAAAGAAAAGAGCTTGTCTACAAAACTAATCTACTCACTACATTAGTCTCTATAAAACTGATGGAAAATAAATGTTGTTTAATGGAATCACTGTTAAATGAAATCTAGTCCAGACCTTGAGTCATTTTTAATGCATTTCGGCAGGAGTACGCACAACATTTCCAACAACGCTTCAGCTTTCTGTATTGTATCAGTCTAATCGCGTCAAAAGGGCAAAATGATTAATGAAAACATTTGTGCATTATGTTTAATAATTAATCACCGGTGAAATGTCATGGGAGATACACAATTGTCTCTGCAACCTAATGTTTTAATGGCATTAATCAATTAATTATAATGACAGCAGTCCCTCTTAGTCCAATACTAAATACTACAACATTTACTTTGTTGTTTTATCTCTAGCAATGTGAAATTATATAAGAATGTACAATAATAAAAAATATCTATAGTAAACAAGTATGAAGAGTATAAAAATATTTTTAAGGGGGGATCTTTGTACCTGTAACGCCCAATGCTGCCACCAGAGGGAGAGTTTAATCTATTTTGTTATTTTTCCAATATGATAGTTACCAGCTGCCAACACAGCCTTGTAAAGAACAATCATTTAAACTTGAGGAATTCCAAGACTAATTTAGGGGCAATACGTTTGTTTACAATACGTTTGTAAGAGCAGGAAACTGATTCATAGTGGGACAATGAGTGGAGTAAGTAATTGATGGCCAAAGCCATTTTCCAGTTTGTGACTTCCTGTTACTCACCACGAGGCAATAAAAGGATTCTGATTCGATAGATCTTTAACATAGAAAAAAATCTCCAAAAAGTCCTTGAATAACGGGTCTCTTTTATCAAACATATTTTCTACTTTTGCCTCCATTTTTGTCTGTGATATGTGCCTGACCTCGATGGATGGCTGCTTCCAAAGCGTCCAGGCCCACGCCCCGGGTGTAGTCAGCGGACACAAACTGGGTCCAAGATGTCGTACGTCTGTCCGGAACAGTGGTCCACGGCAGAATACTCTATCCACCGACGCAAAGCCCTTCGTTCCAGGAGCCACAGAGGGTCCCACCACTCCCTGCACAAAACATAAAATTCAGAATTATGACAAAAGAATAAGGTCCATAGAGTATCTACAATCGGCATATGTATGACACATCTCCTGTCCTGTTTGAGTTTATGTTTGTTTATTGTAAATACGTCTTTTAAAAACTATAGAAAACCCTTGGCGTGGAGCAAAGCAGGTAAACACACATTGTTCAACGAGGAGACTAATATAAAATTTGGCTTAACATTTGGCTGAATGAGGCCAAAATTGCGTAACATTTGGCACGATAATGACGTTGTGAGCTCGTTACCATAGTGACGAGTGTCCATTCCAACCACCTGAGAGCGAGTTCGGCTCCCACCACTACGCCTCCCCCCTGGCGCGACGAGGACAGGAGTTTTTTAAAAGGGTCGATTAACAAGGGCTGTTTTCTCTGTAAAACCAAAGACAAAGAAGATTCAACAATGCACGGCGTTTCATTCATAAAACAACAAGCAAAACACCAATACCATATTAATCAAAGACCCGTGTAGTGCTTAGTGTAATCCGGGGACTGGACTTCAAATCATGTCTGCTCACCCACCCGCTTCAAACTAGTTACATATTTTTCTGTATCCTGGTCATTGTTTTTTGTTCCATGATATTTGAAATATACTGTTGATAGTAATAACTAGAGTCCGTTTTATACAGCCGCTTTGGATCTTGGACACTCAAAACGCTTCACATGTCATTTTTTTCATGCACATCCATTCCATGGTGATATAAACTTCTACTGTATGCCACCAACGTCGCCCCTGGGGCACACTGACAGAAGCGAGGCAACCACTATGTGCCATAGACCGCCTCCTACCCACCACCAACCATCACACACACCACCAGACTCATGCTAATGTGGTTAAGTGTCTTGCCTACGACACAACGACAGTTCTGGCCCTTAACAGCCGCCCACTGTGGGCACCTGGCGTTCCCAGAGGTCTCCCATCACTAAAAAACTAACCAAGCCCTGCCCTGCTTGGTTTCAGAATGATTAAAAAAAAGAGAAAGATTGAGTGTAAGATTTCTTTTTCAGTGAGAAAAACGACTTGTGAAACAATTCCAAATTATTAGCAAAGAACGAGGCAGAATGGGTCCCCGCCACTGCTCCGACAGGTGACTACCCTCGTGGCCTGTGACGGATGGGCCAAATCAAAAGCAGAGGACGAATGTAACCCATAACCTATACGAGCGGGGTCTGGGGAACGGGGTAAAAGGAAGTGGTGTAAATGGCAAAGGAAGCAACTATAATGGTGCCAAAGCTGTGAAAAGTAGCCACTGTAATTGTTTTAGTCAAGAATGTTATAAGCTATATTCCTCCAAATGCAGTTTCTTCTTAACCTCAGTTTGCTTAAAGCTGGATTACCCTAGCCTGGCTCTGCCAGACCCTTGTAGTTCCGCCATGCGCCAACCAAGCCGTTTGGCTGATACCACAGGGGTCCAGGGTAGCGAGCCCCATCGCGAACCTGAGCCTTCCCGCAGATGTTTTTTAATCGACCAAATCAGGATTGCCGGTGCTACGGGGGGTTCGGCAAACTGCCTTCTCCAAAGCTTCTCCAAGCAGCAGCGAGAGGAAGCCAAGATGGCGGACGTAAAGTCCGCGAAATCTTTTTAAAAGAGTAATACCGATCGAATTAAGACACAGAGGTCTCTGTTAATGCATTTTTGAGCGTTGATGGTTCTAGGTTGATATATGGTGTGTTGAGTCAAATGTTCCTGTAAGTTAGGTTGTAGCACTGGTTCAGTTTCCTGTTTACACACTAGCAGCAGGTTGCCAGGTTTGGTGGTTCCCCCGCACTATTTGTTTCCAAAGAGACTTGTAGGTAATAAATAAACAAAAAACAAATAAACACAATCAGAAAGCCCAAGTTGATTAATTACGTTTTTAGCCAAAAAAGATCATTGAGTGTTTTTTTGTGGTGGGTTTTCCTCGTGGATTTGGGTTGGAAAATCTTGCTGGGATTTGGCAACCCTATGGGAGCCGTGTGCTTCAATGTGAGTGGTTGCAAGCAGACTCATCTCAAGATAACGGACAAGTGGTCTATCCAATCACATACAAAGGATTTTTTTTTCAGGCCCCTGCCTTCTGAAATCCAACCACTTATGGCTCAGTACCAGACTCTAGTAAGTGCACTGCACGAAACATGGGTCTGGCGAGAGTCAGGCTAGGATTACCCATCTCAAACCCACAAAAAACAACAAGGGCAAAATAATGACATGATCTTTGCGCTCGCAGAACAGTTTGGGTTTCTGTATAACTATGTGAGGAGAGGTGCCCTAAAAAGCAGGTCCTTTGTCCTTCCGTACTGCTGTCAGACTGTGACAAATGAGAGCTGCCAAGTCGGTACTGGTCGTCTCCAGTGATGGGAATAACGCCGTTACTAGTAACGGCGTTACTAGCTGCCGCTTACTATTTTTCATAACGAGTAATCTAACAATTATGTTGACAGTAACTAAACGCCGTTATCATTTCCGACATCCCTTTCTGCGCGTACTCAAGACCACTAAAGAAACGTGTTGTCATAGAGAAGGGAGGATTGGAGAAAACCCTCTCACAATATTGGCTGATTGAAATCATATTTCCTTACCAATCTACAGGTCTACAGTTGAGAGGATGGCTCTTAAATTTGTGTTTTTGAATCAAATATGGGTCTAAACGCGCTCAACCACGGCTTGGGATAACCTGAGGTCAGCCACAGAGTAGCGCATGGTTAGCGCAGAAGTTACGGACTGCATACAATTCCATCGATATGCTCCTTGCTCTTCCTGTTATCTGCTAAGGACAAGCAACCGTTTGGCTAACATACATATAACACATTTTTTACATAAAAATCAAAATGCACATGGGGTAATTTTTCAATTAACTATAAGGAATGAAAAAAGAGAGGTGAGAGTGTAAGACGGTTGATTTTAAGAAATTGGATGCAGCGGCTGCAGGCAAAACAGAGGGAGTTTTACGGAGGACACACCCGTTTTGTTTTTACTTTTTTTTTTTAAAACTCATTGGACTCATGCCAAATGGAGGCTTACATATCTACGCTCATACCATTCACTAGGATTTTTAAACAAGGAACATGGTCCTGAACCGAATGGATTAGTCATTTATAAGTAAGCCTATAAGGTAAGACCAATAACACATAGTTTTTGGCTTGTATGAACTAAACAATGCGGGCATAAAACATATTTTGCTGTACCAAACAAATTGGTCCACTTGATTTATATGATCGTATATGTTTCATCTGTATGGACTGAAGTCAGTGCTGCACACCTCACCGCTCGTTCACCCCGGTGTTTTCCACATTCACAGTGGGCGGTGTTGGTGTTTAGTGCGTTACAGCACAGGGAGAGAGATGAAGAGGAACAGACGTCAGCCCAAAACAGCTTCTCAGAGGGAAATATGGCACTGTTAAAGGTAAAAAATGGCGCAACGTCGGGTGCACATTATGTTCCAGAACTAAACGAAAAGTAACGCAAATAGTGACTTTTTTCTGGTAACTATTGTACTTTTATAGTGGAGTAACTTCCGTAGTAACTCAGTTTACTTTTTTTGGGAGATGTACCGAGTAACTAATATCTAAGTACGTTTTCAAAGTAACGTGCCCAACACTGGTCGTCTCGGCTGTAAATGGTAAGTCCTGCAATTTTATGAGTGTCCCTCTGAATGTCCTTTATCTACTTTATCCAGCGAAAACATAATGGATGGTAATTTACACTGATAATATAGTAGATATAATATTGATATTTAACAGCCACTGTTTTAGTCACATTTTCACTGTTCTACTTTCCACTTTAGGAAACTCAATGTTTTATGTTTATTGCAAAATCCTATTGCACTTGCTTTTGGAAAACCTTTTGTAACAACGACCTTCACTATACTAACTGTAGAAAAGGGTAGCCAAAAAAGAACTAGGCCTGAGTTTAGTATTTTAATTGTATCTAAAATACATGTTATTTCGGTCAAACTCGTGACGCTTTGGTCTTTGTTTTCTGGTTCAAATTTTTAATCATGCTACACAAAGTCAGTCCACTTGAATTCATATATTTTTTTTCCTTTGGTATCTAATGTTTGTGTGTCTGTTTTATTTTGTTTATTTACCTATTTTTTGAATTGTTTTATTTTATGGCCCCGGTGGTGAGTCAGGTGTGTAGTTTTATTAAACCCCAAGAAGGGGCATTCAATCCTCGGCATTTGACCCATCCTGATGCCACAATAGGCTACATCAGGAGACAGTGGTCGCCGTAGTAACAGCACCCGGGGAACCCATCTCCAGATTTTGATGCTGTCTTGGTCAGGACTACCAGACGGAGGATCGAACCTTATTGTGTATGTTTTTAGTGGTAGGGGAAACCGAAGCACGCCAGAGGAAACTCTACGCACGTACGGGGAAACATGGCAAACTCCACGCAGAAAAGACCCTCCTGGCACCATTCTGCTGTATTGTCCTTTTCCTTTCACCCTTTTTAGAACATAACTCAATGCAGGTTTGTTAGTTAATGTTATAATGTTCACTAAATAATAGTAGTTATTGATGTCCTGAGAAAAGCATAAACGAGTTTTGCATCTTATGGTCAGATCACGATTCGTCTGACGCGTGAACAGGCTGCTTACAAAAACAGGGCCCCATTCCAACCCCATCACTTGTCGTCAACATCTCGCCCCGTATCGGCCGAACTCGTTCTCCGGAGACGGTTTTATCTCTTTTCTGTGCATATAATGCGGTTTAGTGAGATGAAATTGAAGGTGATGTTGCCACTGAATGATAAGGAGTTGTTTGTTTTTTGCTACATTCGATAGATCCGTCCCACAGCGACGTGTGCTGCCGAGATGTACGTTGTACAACTACCTCATCAACCGCGCCAGAGAATAGACGCAATAAAGGCAAAAGTTGAAAACTATTTGTAGTTATTTTTTTCTATACAAGATCGACGGAAAAAGACCATATTTCTGTAAATCTGCAAAATTTTGCCAAGTAACAAATATAACTGTATTTAATGTATAAAATAAAAGGGATTCATCGGCACCCAATCCTGTGTTCTGAGTGACTTAAATAAATTACAAGGATTTCTAAGGGAAAGAGCAGAAAATGTGAAGCCATGGAGGAAATTTAGCGTAAGAGTCTGGTATTTACTATAACTATTCAAGCCCATACTCTCAAAACATAAGGTTTAATATAAATATACTCAATCAATAAGTGATTTCCTGTGTGGGATTTTGGGACCAATGTTATTAAAAAGGGCCCATGAAAAAAACATATATTAAAAGGATGAAAGCAGAATTTGTGATGTCTACAGCTAC